CTGATGAAGAGTTGCCTGAGAATGTGTCTGAGTTTGTGAAGTGTTATCGGAAAGGATGGATGATATCCGCCATCAAGTGTGCTCAAACTTGAAAACGTCTGCTGATTCGATTAAGTTAATTTATGATAAGAGATCTACTGAAGTCAGGTTTGTACCTGGAGACAAGGTATGGTTGTATAATCCCAGGAAGACCAAAGGGAAGTCTCCTAAGTTGTCTTCTCCATGGGAAGGCCCATATGATGAACAATATTAAAGAGGGGGGCAGTGTTGCATCAGCGAGATCACGTGACTATTCTCACGCCCTCTGCTTTCTAGAACTATCCTGTACCTTGGCGAATGCTCTAGTATTTACTAGATATAAGGTAGTCTGGTATATAAAAGAGGGTGACAACGTGACGGGACAATAGAATGTGTGTGTAGACAGTGAGTAATTGATCTGCAGTCAAAGAGTATTATTGAGCACGTTCATTGTTATAGCGTTTGTTTTAGCGCGATTGTTGAAATTAAGTGTATCGTAAAGTTATATTCGGAAAGAATAACCAGTTTTATTAAGTAAGGACTTGTGTCGCTAAAGTTTCGTTGGAACGAAGTTACGGAAAGTTAATTAACAAACGGAGACGTAACATTAATTATAATAAAATAATGATGGAATTTTAATGGATGCTGTCTGATAGAAATTCAGGCCAGGGATTAATGTTTTTTTAAGTTGCTATTCAAAACCAAAACAAGTCTGGAGAAGTTACTGAGAAGTCATTTAAACAATTATATTTAGATGTAATTTTCAGATATGATTTTTTTTTACAGTTGCTTTATTCCATTCCTTTTAACTTTAATTCATCATGCTGAATAAATGTCTTATTTATATTAAAATATTTAACTTGTTCTCTACCAGAATGTATTAGACATACTCAAGAAGTCTAGATAAGAATATTATTTATATATAATTTTGGTTTGTTGCAGCATTAAAGAAATATATATAAGAATACATTTACCTTGTACGTTTATGTTTAGTGGGCATGATATGTTTGATCTAAAGTACTTGTAAAAGTATTTTTAAAGAGACTTCTTATTGTTCATTGTTTAGCAGATACAGCTGATGCTTTACCAGAAAAGACTGAAAATTTTATCATTGGAGACAAAGTATGGGTGAATGGCACCAAAAGTGGTTTCATCCAATTTCTTGGAGAAACCCAGTTTGCTCCAGGACAGTGGGCTGGTGTTGTTTTAGAAGAGCCATTAGGAAAAAATGATGGTTCTGTTGGAGGAATTCGTTACTTTCAGTGTGAACCCAATAAGGGAGTGTTTGCCCGTCCTCACAGACTTTCTCGATCTCCTGCCAGCACTGCCAATACAGTTTCTAATGGTACACTTCAAACAAATACAGATAGAGCATCAATGTTAAGTTCCCAGGTGGGAGGAAGAATAGCAATCTCAACATCACAGCTGCCAACTTCACCAACACCAGGAAGCGTTAAGGATGGAATGACACCTCGGGGTGTGAGTGGTAGTTTGTCTACTAATGACAGTTCACTTAAATGTGGAGATCGTGTTGTAGTTAATGCCACGAGTGGTGTCAAGACAGGAATCCTTCGCTATCTGGGAACCACTGAGTTTGCTCCAGGAGAGTGGGCAGGGGTTGACCTTGATGAACCTCAAGGGAAAAATGATGGCTCAGTTGCAGGAAAAAGGTTTCTAGACATAATATTAAAATTTATAGTGTAATAATTTTCTAGTGTAGAACAGTTTAAATTTGGCTAAAATGGCAGTATGTGTGAGGTGGTGAACTGTGAAATGACAAATGTTGTGTGTTACTTTCTGGTTGCAACAAATTGATATTAACATTGCACTCAGTATGTATCACAAAACATTTGCTGTGCTACAGCTCAGCACTTTTCGAGTACTCCCATATGCAGCATGATTTTTGGATAACCCTCTATTAAGTCAGATGAATTTATTTAGTTTTAAATTAAAAACATGAATTTATAATGTAAAGCTGAACTAGAATATCTAGGTAACCTTATTATAGGTATGTTGGTACTAAAGCTAAATGTATTTACAGATTTGAACTCCTCTAGGTCAAGGAGAAAAGCTGTATAGTTTAAAAGTCAGTGTTATAGGTTAATGCCCCTATTTATGTTAAATCTTAAAATGGGCTTTAAACTTATATTGCTTTTGTTTTACTGAAGTTTTAGACTTAAATAGACATTTATCTTTGTCAGAAACCAACATTTTAAAGTGAAAATGACCTTTTTCTTTAGCATTTGAATAATGTAGGATAATTTTCCTAATACTAGCTAGGATTAATTTTCAGTTGCTTACTAGGATTAACTTGAATTGACTTAAGACCTGTAGACAAACTATAAGACCTCCAAGTCTTTTTTTCCATAAAAGTTCTTTCCCTTCTGACTAATATTTTTCGGTCAGAACATAGTTTAATAAAGGTATAAAGGAAGTCAAACTGGCTGTATGATATGAAGTTCTTGTCTCAGTACCTCACACTTAGCATTATAGATGATAATTACTTATAGTGTTTTCAAATTGTTCTTACAAGTAAATTTAACCCCCCCCCCCCCATTATTGTAGCTGTGAGGCTGCAACTTTGGGATCCCGGATTATGGTTCTTATTTGTTCTCAATATAAAATTGTTTCCATTGATGAAGAAGAAAAAATCTAATTGTCTTCAGTTTTATTCCCTCTCTTTCAAAGGTATTTTGAATGTCAGATGAAACATGGACTGTTTGCACCTATCCATAAAGTTTCCAAAGCTGGTAAGGGTTCAACAACAACTCGAGTTACTCGGCTTTCTTCAGGTACTGGTCTAACTCTTCACCGTCGAGCGGGAAGTCATGAGTCACTCAACAGCTCTATCAGTTCTGCCTCTAGTGCTGCACGTGGCGGCAGGGTAAGGCTTGGTGTGACATCACTCACTAGTCCCCAGGTACTTACCCTATATTAACTTACTTACATTTTCCTTCCCTCTATGTAATTTTGGTGCATGATTACTCAAAGTTCTTACTAATAAACTCAAATGCTTTAACTTGTTATTTGATATACAAAGTAATGAGACTCACCCTTTTGAAACAAAATTAGTCCTCACTGATAATATTAACAAGTGTATTACTCATATTGAAGGATTTAAATTGTATATGGCTGTTTTTATACAGTTAATGCAAAATTAGTCCTCACTGATAATATTAACAAGTGTATTAGTTATATTGAAGGATTTCAATTGTATATGGCTGTTTTTATACAGTTAATGCTTGCTAATTGTTATTCAATAATCTGGAGAACAATTGACATAAAAACTTCCCTTTTATTTGGATTTATAGCTGACTAATTGCAATCCAGGTGTGGTTTCACGTAAGCCTTTTCACAGTTATGCGTAGATTAACTGATCAGGTCGATCTGTGATGAAAAATGCAGAAGTTATATAAAATGTTATGTAATTTTGTCTCAGTGTTCAAACTTTTACTGATAAAATAGTAAATAGTAAAACAATGGTTTTTACTAGGCATTGAATATGATTTAATTTAATTATTAATTAGTTGATTTGTCAGCCAAAGTAATTTTCCTGTAAATTGTAATTTACAGATAACATGTAAACTATATGATTAACACATTAAAAGTAAATTACTTGTTCCTTCTATAGAGATTTAATGTAATTTACTGGTACAATTACACAATTGTTTGATTTTTTTTTAAAAGAGGAACAGTGATTATTCTGTATTGTTTATTGAAGTATTCAAATTTGTGGGTATTGAGATCTGTATAACTAAATGAAAGTATATAATTATTTGGAGAAGGATGAGTTAAAGGATGTTAGATGAGTTAAACTGAAAGCTTTTAATTTTTGTATTTAAAAAAACTCCTGTTAATCGTGTATTGAAAATTGAGAAATTTTCTGCCATATGGAAGAGTGTTAAAAACGGAGATTGCTGCTAAGAAAACAACTTCACGAGCTCTTTTTTTTTTACTGACACACCTTAAACTGAAAACATCCCCATAATTTGTATATTGGTTTTACAGTGTTTGTGAAGAATTTCAAAATCATCGTAGAAGCTGTAAAGCTTACAGTCATTAAGACACACACACACAGTTTGTTATTATATTAATAACTAGTTGTCTCTTAAACCATGATGTAAGGTAGAAACCTAAATGCTGTTTCTGTGGGCCTGTTACTTTGATGAATTAAAGTTGTTAAGATGAAAATATACACATACATGCATAAGACTTAATGCAATCATTTGTACTAAAGAAATTGCTTATATTTCAAAAACAAAACAAATCTTTATATATATGGCCACTTACCTTTGGTATCATAATAGCAAAATATTCCTGGCAGTTTAGGTAATGACAATGTATTTTCTAACAATACTGGAATTATACAAGAAGTTGATGCAAAGTTTACCTGTATAGGTATTTATTATTCTTTCTTAGGATAGTACACCGTAAAAGTTCCAGTTAATATTTACTATTGCTGTATTTGTTGTGATATATTTTATTACATTAACAATGATACTTATGTATCTAATAAATCTGATGATATCACGAGGTAATTATGTATGCTGAGATTATTACATATCAGTTATTGTATAATATCTTTCAAATAAGGTTTAATGTAGAGAAAACTCTATCAAGGTGGTCTGCTGTCAGATTTCTAAATGTTGCAGCGAAAAATTCAATTGGAATTATGAAACCTTTCTTTATAGCTATTACTGCACATGTGTAGTTAGTTCTAGATGTCAGTCCGTGACTTATTGGGTGTGTTATAACAATAAGTAATCAAGATATATTTTTTTAACCTAACTTCTAAGCTAAGTTTTGTGCTGTCCCATCTTTTCTTTAATTGTAACATAATAATCTATGAATAACTATGGTAAAATACAGTGCTTGTGCATAAATTATATGAACCAAAAGCATGAAAATGTTGAAAAGTGTACAATGATTTATTTTAAAATGACACCTGATTTGATAACTGTACATGACATCCTCTCATAAGGTAGGGTAGTACTGACCACTGAAATAGTTATCCAATGTGTTTGGTACTGTTTTCACATCTTCTCATAAGGTAGGGTAGTACTGACCACTGAAATAGTTATCCAATGTGTTTGGTGCTGTTTTCACATCTTCTCATAAGGTAGGGTAGTACTGACCACTGAAATAGTTATCCAATGTGTTTGGTGCAGTTTTCACATCTTCTCATAAGGTGGGGTAGTACTGACCACTGAAATAGTTATCCATTGTGTTTGGTGCTGTTTTCACATCTTCTCATAAGGTAGGGTAGTACTGACCACTGAAATAGTTATCCAATGTGTTTGGTGCTGTTTTCTTTAATAAATTAGTGTGTACTATTAATGTTGTGTTGTTTTTAGTTCATTTAAGATAAAAATGCTGATACTTGTCATTAAGTGGTTCTCAGTGATGTGTTACTTGTTCTATCATAGGTTTCTGTCTTTCAGTTTTTTAGATTATTTTATCCTTGTTACAGAGGTCTTCACGTCCCTCTGCAGCCAATGTTACAGCTACAAATAATGCTATTCAGGTTAGTTTTAATTCTGTTTTAATCTAGTAATTTTGTCATGAAATCAGTCACTATTGTTAATATGAAAGCATTATGGTGACTATCTATTAGAACTTGTGGCATAAAGTTGAACTATTTTAATTGTTATTCAAAAGATAAATATGTGTTTTAAAACTATAAAAAATGAACTCTTTCATTATGTTTAGATTTTCTAGTAACAATACTGCCCTTTATGTCATGTCTGAATAGGATACCTGTAACTTAAAAAATCATGCATGTTATTGTGTTTCATGTTATTAGAACATCACAGTATTTTACTCGAAGCTTCCAGTTTATAGGTTAATTGTTTTTTGTCAGTGTCTTTCTTTGTTAATGAGGCTTTAGATATAGCTCTAGAGCAGTTACAGTAACACTTTAACCTAAAAATTTTCTGTTGTGTGTAAATTTGATAAAATGTCATAATTTTTTATCATTAATGTTAGCTTGTAGTTTAATGCTATTCTTATCATCAGAATTGCATGGAGCTCCCTGTTATCACAACTTTAGCTGGTATATATATGTGTGTTCTGACTCTGAGGAATTTTAATGGATAATTAAGATTAATTTTCCATTCAGATAAGTTCATTTCATTAGTAAGTTTTTGATATTGTTCATAAAAAATGGTTTATATGTACAGCGAGAATTAGCAATTGTTGAATTATGAAGCTTGCAATTTTGTTGGAGCTGATTTTTCAAAGACAACTGCTCAATTGCTCCAATACATACTACACCCTTATTATGATTGGAAAATTTTTATTTCTATAAATACTGATGGTGCTGTGTTAACAGTGGTGAGGCATCATTTTATTGTATATTTTTTTCAATCCTATTTTAGCTGTTTTTAATTTTTAACTTTGATTTCTAATGCTGTCTCACAGCAAGATTTTCCTTGGATTCATTTTAGCCTTGTAGCTGCTCAGTTCAATTGTATTCCAGATTGACTAGTTTTTTATATTACTTGGGATTCTTTAAAATAATTCTCATTGTAACTTTATGTGTACTTTTTATCATTCCTATGGAAATGCGGGATAACCACACACCTTCCTGATTTGTTATACATGACACCACTTTATTGTACAATCATGATTACTTAATTTACTGATTTGATTATGTATGCATTACCCCATATCTAAGGGGTTAAACTGGTTGTTACAGTTAGGAAAAGCATTCCACCTCTTAAGAATTCAAGCCATCAGCATTTCTGGTCTTCTGACTGGTATGTGAAAGTGGGTCACAAAAGGGAATTCCACCTCTTTCGAAACCCTAACTTAACTACTGGTTAGAACCTCCACCTAATATTTGGATGTACCACCTTTTGTCCAATGATAATTTGTATATAGTGTGACATTATCTCCTTCAAGATGTCAGAAGGCATCTTACTCAATTGTAGTCAATTTGAGGTGTATGTACTATAATTGGTTTATAAGTGTCAGCACAGTATTATGGTGGTAAGTGCAATGCTCAACCAGATTACAGTATAGTAATTTGATAGCCAAAGAAGTTGATTAAATCCTTCCCTTTCTTCCCAGATCTGTTTTGGATAGTGATGGTAATGAAAAGATTTTCTCACCTGGATTAGGGATGTGTTATTGACTAACAATTTTTTAACCATTGATGATAACAAAGTAAGAGCATCTTTTCTTGACTGTTAGTAAAGATAATACTTACACATCCTCTGAAGTGATAAAAGTGGGATTTCCTTTGATAGCTAATGGCTATAGTATAAATTCTCTCTTTCTGGCTGATGAGTATGGGGTGGCTAACAATGTACAAGTTTTCTGACTGAGAGGACATAAACTTTCATAGCTGATAGTTATGAGGACTACTATGCTGGTTAATGGTTATGATATGATTGACTTTCATTAGTAATGACAAAACGTATATTTTTGACTGATAATTCATTGCTTGCAATTTTTCTGGATTGGTTGATAAGGGCAATCAATCAATCCAGAATTTTCCAATGGTTATGATATACCTTCTGTGTTTCCTACTTACAACTTTCCTGACTAAAGGCCAAGAAAGGACTTCAAATATTCAGAGCTGATTTTACTAATAAGATTCATTCTTCTAATTAATGGTTATGATATAGTGATCTATTTTGTAACTAATTTTATAATGTACAAGAAGTTCTTAATAAGTGTATGTCATATGAAAAATTTCTCCACTCATAAAGCATTTGCAATTAGTACAGGTTCTTAACTAATAAAAATACATTTCCAGATGTATTTTTGATAGTGAAAATATGTTTTATATGGTTACAAGTAATGTAGTGTAATGATTCAGTCCATTAGTAGTTTCTGGAATTGACAGATGTGATATGACATTAATGTGTATTTAATTGCTCTAACTAATGATATTATTAACTGGCCTAGTTCTAGTACATATTTGTGTTAAGTACAAACCATAACAGTTTTAATGAAATGATTATGAAAGTAAGACTGACATAAACCTAATATATGATTATTATAAGAAAACTGAATCTAATACAGTTAATAAGTGATATTGAATTTTTTTAATGAAAACTATGTGTTTTAATAAGACTATCTTTGTGATATACTAGCAGAAATGATGCCCTATGGGCAGTTGTTTGTGCTAGTAATTTTCTAAAAAAGGATTTTTCTGGGAAGTACTGCATGGGAAAAGTGCTTGGATTTGTGCTGATATAAACTGTAATGTTTTTATATATTAAAAGTCCTACTCTTTATAGAAAAAATAACAGTTTTCTTTTAAGAACTCCATTTTTTAGTACTATATTTACAACTTACATCAATAAAGATATAATCATACCTTCACATACAGTCCTAGTGAAAGTCGTGTTCTTGTTGTGAGGAGAGTACTTTTATTTAAAGTTATGTTCTGTAATAAATAAATGATCATTGCACATACCGTAATTTTTCTAATTGTCTGAATCTTGAATACCCAAAGTGTGATTTTTCTATGGATTTTTGTTTGTCGTGCCATTCAATAGATGGCGCCACATTATATTTATTATTTCTGCCACATGCATATATACATGCTATGTCCATTGTAGTAAGATTGTTATAAATTTGGTAAATATGTTAAACTAAATTTAGTAAAAATGTATATGGTGAAATGCAAAACATGCATAATACAATTTTGTTGGCAAGAGTTATATGCTTCATATTTTACAACTTGAAATTGAAAGTTGCATAGATAAAGTATTTTAATACAGTGTTGCTGATAAAGATATTTCACGCTATTGAAAGTAAAGAATAACTTGATTTCATAACTGAAGTAACATTTTATTGTTACACTTAATTTTTAAGTGTCTTGGAAAGAATTTTTTATTAAGTGACAGATGTGTGAAAAATGTGTTAACATTTTAATTAATATCATTAAATTTATATTAATCCATTTGTTTAAGCATCAGACTCTATTGAAACCATTTTTAAAAAATGTTTAAGTTTTAATGAACAATTAAATACAAAATTGCTTAATATAATGTGTAGTAAATTTTAAACATTCACATCTTAATATTTGTGGTTTGAGAGCTTTTGTATAGTGTTAGTTATTAGGAAGATTAGTGTCTTATTATGAACTTGGTAGTTTCAACCAGTGTACACCAATGTTTGTTGACAAGAAACCGCGAAGTATATGTTTGGCAGATTCTTTACATTACCAAAATCTTGTCATATGTTTGAAAAGTACCATATCTACCACTACATCTACCATACTCTGAACTTATGTGCTATATGCTTTCGTTTGTAGGTGCAAAAGCTGAAATTTAAACATCATCAGTTCCCACTGTCACTGTATCTCCTATGTTATTAAGTTTAGTATTTTCTTTTCAAAGTAATTATTACAACATAAGCAAAAAGAAGGGTGTGTGGCATTATAAACTATTATAAAAGACTGGGAAGGCTCATCCACAGGAAGTATCAGTGTCAAGGCTTTTAATGATATTAAATTATTTTGTATTGATGCACTGACAACTAATTACAAGAAATTAGTTTTAACTAAAATTTTCTGAAGTATTGTTCTTTTAACATAGGAAAAATGTACTATATAATTTCTTATGTATATGTAATATACAGGATAGAGCCATATTTTGTACAAGTGTTATGTAAGGCCTTTCCTCATGCATATGCTAGAGTGTAAATGCTATATCTGTTCAAATATACAAATATGAATCATTATAATATGCAACCAATGGGAACTTAACTTTGTTAGTATTCATATTTATCCTCATTTTTTGAGCTGTTTCTCATACCCATATGTATGGCCACATAATGCTGTACATAATGAATGTAGTAGTGTTTCTCAAACTCCTTTCAAATTGATTTAAACTATGATTTTGTTCCCATCAGGAAGCATTAAAAGAAAAGGAAGAACACATTGAGCAACTTTTACGGGAACGGGATCTAGAGCGAGCAGAGGTGGCTCGAGCTGCTGGTCAAGTAGATGAGGTAGTGAAATTGAATTGGGTTCTCATTATGAAACACAATTCTATGGTGTTATGGTATATACTTGTGAGGACGTATCTGTACATTTCCTAATTTACGGTATATACTTGTGAGGACGTATCTGTACATTTCCTAATTTACGGTATATACTTGTGAGGACGTATCTGTACATTTCCTAATTTACGGTATATACTTGTGAGGACGTATCTGTACATTTCCTAATTTACGGTATATACTTGTGAGGACGTATCTGTACATTTCCTAATTTACGGTATATACTTGTGAGGACTTATCTGTACATTTCCTAATTTACGGTATATACTTGTGAGGACTTATCTGTACATTTCCTAATTTACGGTATATGCTTGTGAGGATGTATCTGTACATTTCCTAATTTACGGTATATGCTTGTGAGGATGTATCTGTACATTTCCTAATTTACGGTATATGCTTGTGAGGATGTATCTGTACATTTCCTAATTTACGGTATATGCTTGTGAGGATGTATCTGTACATTTCCTAATTTACGGTATATGCTTGTGAGGACGTATCTGTACATTTCCTAATTTACGGTATATACTTGTGAGGACGTATCTGTACATTTCCTAATTTACGGTATATGCTTGTGAGGACGTATCTGTACATTTCCTAATTTGACTATTTTTTATTACAAATTGTTTAAACTTTCCCCTTTATATGGTTACAACCTTTCTTAAGAATGGTAAAATGCTATAATGGACAGAGTATAATTTTGTCTGTCTGTTATACTGTTGTGTTTTTAATTAATAAAAACTCTTAATACGAAAAACATGTGATACACATTTTAAAATAATACAGTACATCTACAATGGTTAACAATTTAGCTCTATTGTTACCAGATAGTTCTGCACAGAGAAAAAATATATTTCTATTCCAACATAAGATTAGTTAGATCTTTCTATAGGTTTTATGTAATATATGCTTTATCATTAGACTTGAAATGCTTGAATTTTGTTAAATATCAACAACTGTGGGATTACTGTTGTTGTTGTTGCAGGAAACTAGTTAATCAAAGTATCTGTCTGAAGAGCAGAGTAATTGGTTCCACTCTTGCCTGGTTTCTGTTTTCACTTCATTAAAACGTTTTCGACTTCGAACATTTTTACTTACATTTAATTTTGATATTGTAGGATTTTCCTTCTGCGGTGCTGCCATAATTTAATGCTGAAAGATGGGCTCTTTTAAAGCTATTATATAGTTTCTTATGTTCTTTGTTCTGCTTTACGGCTGCCATGGCAGGTTGAAAAGAAGTTGGCAGATTTACAGAAAAAGCACCAAGGGTATTTGGAAGAAACAGAGGGCAGTTTGGTTCAGCTACGGAAGCTTATCGAAAAGACTGAAATGGATAAAAAAAAATTATTAGGGCAGCTGGAGGATGAGAGAAGGTGAGTTACATATCCTAGTGCATGTATTCCACCTTATGATTAATGTAACTTCAAATTGGTTATGTGTAAAGATCAACTCATTAACAACAGTGTTTACTTTTATAATAGACTTGTGGGAGGTAAATTAATAAATGAACTGTTTAGTGATACAGTGCTCTGGTATTGTTTTTGTTTATCATTGCAATTCGTTTGTTATTTTTGGTGTTAATCTTTCTTGCTAATTTTATTTTGTCAGAAAAGTTGAAGATTTACAGTTTAGGATAGAAGAAGAATCAATAAACAAAGTTGATCTAGAGGTAAGTTTACTTAGTTATTCATTAACCCTTGAATATTATGGATTTTAAAATATGTATAAAACTATGTTGTAATTATTAGACAAATAAGATAAGGTAGTACTTAGAATATCATAACAGAAATAGCAAATTTTATGCTTGTAGTCAGAAGCTATAAGATTATCCATGGCTAACAACCATAATTTGTTCTGTGAACTTAGTAGTTTAAGAAAATAGCATATTCACTCTACCAATATTATAACATTATCTTTTGTGTTGTTTAAATTCTCTCTTTATTGAATAGATATATTTCTAAATAGACATCAGTGTGATTGACACAGAAAGTACTGTTGATGATTTACTGTGTGGGTATGTGTCTACATTTTTTAAACCAGTTTTAACTGTTAGGTGTTTTGCTTAAACCCACTGGATTTCTAATCTGTAGATAGAATTAACTGCACTTTTTGTTGTGAAAAAATAAATAACCATTAATGCTGGATATTAGTTTTGATTAATAATCATAATAGTTTGGAAGCTAAACCAATTTTTGTAATGTTTTAAATCTAATAAGCCATTCTAGGATTTTATCAAGGTCAATAAATACATACCACTATTAGTGTGGTATGTAAGATTCAGCCAAGATCATGTATTTGTTGTGTATCAAACAGCAGATTATGAATTAAAAGATGTAGGTTAATGCCCTCTGGTGATCATACAGCTAAAGTATGAAAAGTAGTTATGGTTGGAAACAAAAACAGACCATAAGTAGGTGAAGGTTCAACAGAGTTTCTAATATTTAGTCAAACATCAAAAGCCAAACAAAAACAGACCATAAGTAGGTGAAGGTTATTGCCCTCTGGTGATCATACAGCTAAAGTATGAAAAGTAACAAAAACAGACCATAAGTAGGTGAAGGTTCAACAGAGTTTCTAATATTTAGTCAAACATCAAAAGCCAAACAAAAACAGACCATAAGTAGGTGAAGGTTCAACAGAGTTTCTAATATTTAGTCAAACATCAAAAGCCAAACAAAAAAAAAAGACTGTTTCCAATAACCCTAATTTTGACCCTAATCTTAATTTTTAAATGTAAAGAAATAGTCTGATCTACCTGATTTTTAGACCTAAAAACTGTGGAGAAATGTTTTTATTTGCTTGATGGGTTCTAAAAGGCAGTGAAATAAACTCAAATAGAAACACATGATATTATATAGTATCAACATCTAAAAGTTTTACCAAATAATTATCCAGAATTCATTAAACAAATTTCCAGTTGTTTGTTGAGATTAATACATGTTTATAGTATGTACATAGGCTAGTAAATGTGAGTCTAGTATACCCTTTATAATTACATGCAATTAACCATATTTACACTTTGAAATAATTTCAAGATTTTATCCAAAGTGGGATTTACTAAAAGTCATCACCACTGATAGCACAATGTGTTCACTTGGAACTTCAAACTGGTTTATTGTTATTGTTACATACAAACCCATGATTTTTAATAGCAAGCTTTTACTAGTTATATTTTTTTCATTCAGGTTTCAAAAAGCAACTAAATATTTTACTGTTTTATGATAAAGGTTGTTTTTTTTTAGAGAAAAATAAAACTTTCTGGGTGAAGTTTTCAATTTTTAAAATAATACATTGTTATCAACTCTTCTAGAATCAATCAGAAAAGGAACGAGGAAAGATCCAAGAATTAGAGAAGCTTTTGGAAGAAGAGCGTCAACGTTCAAGATCTTCAGATTCTAGCAGTAATCAAGTATCAGAAATCACTCATTTACATTTTAATCTCTTATAACAAAGGTTTAGCTCAATGTATATTTAATTTTTCTGGTTACACAATGGTTTCAGTCTCATCATTAAATAGTCTAACTGCATAGTGTCTTTTACAGTTGGAGACGCTTGTTTATAGTTGACCATTTTATATATATAATGAAAACAATAGTATTAAATCATCTAGAGATAACAGTGGAAAAAAGGCAATTAAAAATGGGGTAAATTAAGTCAGCTGTCATTACAAATATTTTATTCAGCCACACAATTATCAAAAATAAAAATATAACCTGCACAACATATTGGGTAAATCCAAACATTTAAGTAAGTTTTTTCACATTTTTGTGTGTGTGTGTGTGTGTGTCTGTTTTGGTCTGCCTCGTGAAAGATATTTAGATTTAAGTGCTTATAAATATATATCTCTAAATGTACCTTTTTATTTGTTTTGAAAATTATTCAAAAAGAATGAAACAAATTTCTATTCTTTCCATAAATTGTTGAAATGTATTTTGTTTTCAGTGATATGTAATGTGTTGAAGCAAGTGAAATCATACTGCATGCTTGCATAGAACTAATCAAGTAAAATTACACTGCATGCTTAGATAGAGCCAATCAAGTAAAATTACACTACATGCTTAGATAGAACCAATCAAGTAAAATTACACTGCATGCTTAGATAGAGCCAATCAAGTAAAATTACACTGCATGCTTAGATAGAATCTGTCAAAATTATACTGCATACTTGCATAGAACCAATCAAGTAAAATTACACTGCATATTTACATAGAACTAATCAAGTAAAATTACACTGCATATTTACATAGAACTAATCAAGTAAAATTACACTGCATGCTTAGATAGAACTAATAAAGTAAAATTACACTGCATGCTTAGATAGAACTAATCAAGTAAAATTATACTGCATGCTT